CTGTAATCTTCATATTCAATAAACACCCCTTTTTGGGACTTTGTTCCAAGAGGTTTGTCCCTTACACAATTGTCTGATTCCCTTTTTAATTGTTAGCAAGCGAAAAACGCACGAAACAACGGCAATAACAACCCTTCTGGGATGATATTAACACTACAATAATAGTTTAGTGACATCTACATATTCTCAATAATAGACAAATGAGACATCTGACTATCACCCTTGTCATCGATGCTTATGATAATCACCTCTTCCATGACGACGGACACCGACCCTACATTGCTTTCCAACTCATCGACATAAGTAATGACAAACAAGATATGGTTTTCTTCCGACGGGATTTCAACGGTGATGACCTCATGATCAATAATATGATCACCAAATCTAGCTTCAAGTGGCTCACCTTTGTCTCCCAAATCGAGAAATGCATCTTCACTTGTTTTCATTTAACTCTTCATTTAATCTCGCTATTATTTTAACCTTCGATTAATTGATTTTAATTTGTTCTTGATATTTCATGACGTTCTTGACATTTAAAAAAGTTGTTGTCGACGTTTGGTCCATTTTTATCTCGACACTTGACATTTCATCTATTTAGAACAAGATTTCGTACCGAACATGAATGTTCTCTATATTTCAAGAATTCTTGACATTTGAAAACATTTGATACCTGTGAATCTCGACGCATGACATTTCATTTGTTATGAATGACAGCTCAACAATGATAAAACGTACAATACAAGAACCTGATGTTAATACAAATGTGGCTGCCAATTTACTAAATTAAGGTCAATCAATATTCAAGGTCACCTTACCAACAGATAACGGCCATCTCAAATCTCACACATGCGGTCAAAACTGACTCTCGAGATCATAGTGTGTACAGTGCAGATGGTACATAAAGAAACTACTAAGTACTCCACATTAACCTAAACAAAGTAATGAAAAATAATTTACATCATATTAATTAAACTCATACTTGCTCACAATGCACATGTTCAAATAATTCATATATCATGTTGTAGTAAAGAATTTTCCCTCTACTTTTTTTTTTCAAATTTTCTTTTAAATCAATCTACCTAATAAGTAAAATCAAACATAAAAAAATGAGATGCATGCAATAATGAATAAATCAATTAAAAAACATAAACATGCATCAAAAGTACTAAATCAATTAGATATACAAACGTTTTTACCTTTAAGAGCACCGAGATCAAATTCTAACTTTTTTAGATCACTCTTTTTCATCCAAACCTGACTAGTTGAAGACTTATCCCGAGTCAACTATATTATAAAATTGGTCAAATGACTCATTTGATTAGTAAGGAAGTCAATTCGGCCATGAAAATCTTGATTTCTATTTCTATTCAGGAATTTATGAAACCAGTGTCTTATATGTCCTAACGCACAATTGAAACATGATAAACCTAGGGCCAAAGTTATGTGGTCGCTGATATCTATTCTTATGTTGGTAGGTCCTACGATGTCTAATAGGCATTGGTCCTCAAATACCTGTGTTCTTGAGTTCAGGATAGGAACATGTGTATGCTGGTTGGTGGCAGGGATAAAAATAATTTTGGAAGTACTAGCCCTATTATGATTGATCTGATTATATTCTAGGCCTCTCTTGTTCACACCAGCTTGTTCAACCTTAAAAGACTGTCCAGTTTTTTAGATCTACTAGAGAAATCAAGAAGTTGAGACTTGAGATTTTCAAGCTCGCTCAAAAGGTTCTTAACCTAGATTTCTAATTTCTCATTCTTAACGGTTAGGTCACTAACTCTCCTAGAGGACTTTTCAAGTTCACTTGTAAGATCTTTAATCTTAGACTTTAGGGATCGATTTATAGTTTCTAATTTGTTGAGGCATAAGGTAGACTCCTAAAGGTTAGCTACACGTTTCTCTCTAATTAGCTCAAATTCATTGACCTTCTTAAACACAACTTTATTCACCTTCTTAATCTTAAGACTCTCTTCAAATAATTTTTGATAAGCCTCACAAATCTTATCCCCATCTTTAGAATCTTCTTGAAATTGCTCACCACTATCTATTTCCTTAATCTTCTTACTATCCTTATTAGATTCACTTTTAATCCTAACAATGAAGGCCATAAACTTCTATCTCTCCTCATTTGTAGACATCTCACTTTGATTATTCGAGCTAGACTCGTCATCAGTGAGAGTTGCATTCATAGTTTTACCCTAATTTCTCTTACCATTAGGGCACTCACTTCTATAGTGGCCAACACCTTGACATTCATGACATCTCACAAATTTAGATATCTCTCTAGACTCACTGCAATCACCTTAGTCTTCTTATTATTTCTGAACATTTTTTGGAAATTCTTAACAAAATACACTATTTTCTCATCATTAAGTGATTTCGAATCAGATGAATCATACTCTTCTTCCCTAATAGTGTTCAAGGCTATAGACTTGTTATTCTTAAGTTGAGATATGTTGAGTTATACGTTTGGAGAGATCCAACCAATTCTTCAATCTTAGCAGCATTTAGATCCTTACTCTCTTTGAAAGCCGTAACTTTAGGCCTAAATCTTTCAGGTAATGATCTCAAAATTTTTCTGACAATCTTAGACTCAGGAATTCTCTCGCATAGGTTAAAACTAGAATTAACTATGTCATTTAAGCTCACATAGAAGTCATGAAATGTCTCATTATCCTTCATCCTAATTTCTTCAAACCTAATGGTCAACATCTGTAACTTAGAATTCTTAACAGTCCGAGTTCTCTCATGCGTGGTCTATAAAATATCTCAAACCTCTTTAGTAACCTCACACAGACACATGCCTAAATTCTTCGTGTAATACGATCATAAATAGAGCATGGAACCATTTACTATTTCAATTACACTCATCTAAATCTTTATTAGACCAAGTTGAAATATTAGTAGGGGTAACTACAACTGCAACTATGGTAGTGGGTCGGTCCAACCATTCACTATGCTCATCCATCGATTTCAGGAAGACTCTCATTCTAACTTTTCAAGAGGTATAGTTACTGCTCTCAAAATATGGCTGGAGAGACAATGAACTATTCATCTAGAAAACTAGGGTTATGAATCAAATTTGGTCTCGAAACCACTTGAGAGTTACTAGTTCAACCCTAAAGTCACCTAATAGTTGAATGACGCGGAATTAAATTTATCAATTAAAAGCATCGAGTCACTTTTTAATTGTTCTAGATATTTAGTCAATCAAGTCAAATTATCTTATGTTGAATTGATGCAATAAATAATTAAATCAGTAAATAACATAAGATTTGATGACGAAGAAAACCCTTAACTGAGTAAAAACTCCCAGAACAAGCAAGTAGTTTCCACTATAGACAATAAGAACTTACAGTATGATCCAACATAGAAAAGCCATTAGAATCGTTGATCTAATTCCTGCAATTTTCAAGACCCACTAGAATGTACTTCATTCACACATGCTCCCGATCTTCTGAAATTGTCTATCTTATGTAGAACACGTGGAACGTCTCGTTCTTGTACTCTTCGTGTACTTCTGGTCCAACCTCCATCAATCTTTAGCAATCTCTTAAAGCTATTGAAAACATACCTTCCTGGGTGGTATCTAGGAAGTGAGTATTTTAGATTATATGAAATTTGATATTTTTTCCAAATTTGTGGTTGATTGTTCTCAAGAATCAAAAGGTTAATCTAGATTTCAGGATGTGTTAATCTTAGGATGATGTTATGAAGATATAAAACAATGATCAACTACACCCAAAAACGTTTTGACCATTGGGTATTTATAATATGAGGAATTTAGGTAGCATAGGATAAATAAAACTCTTGAAAAAATCAAACTACGGTTTTTCGAAAAACATCGTCGCTCGAGCGCCAAGCCAACGACAGGCAAGCGAGAGGTGCGTCGCTCGAGCGAGATCCGAGCGACAATGATTCTGCTTTGGACGCTCGAGCATCAGCTAGGAGATAGGCCAACGTAAATCCGACAACTCTTTTTTCTTGTTCCATACTCGAACAAAAGACTCATAATTCATCTATACAACCCTTCAAAAGATTAATTGACTTTTACAACTCTTTTGTAACAATCCTATTATTTTAAAATAATCATTTTGTCTAAAAAATTGCCAATACAACTAGAAACCTAACACTATCCAAATATTATGGATTGCCATTCGTTAGTAGCTGTATGAGTTGAATTGAAATGTTCATATATGTGATGGAACACTAAAATACCATTTATATTTGATAATCAGTTAATATTGAAATTTGTTGGGATATCTATGCCCAAACAGATTAACTGAACCGAACCAAATCAATATGGTTTGGGTTGGTTCGGTGGATTGAAATTCGAGCAAATCGACTAATTTGATTTTGATTTCGAGTTGGAAACAGACCCAAATCAAACAGCGCCCAGGCCTAGATATGACACGATTGAACAAAAATGCATGTAAAATATTTGTCTATCATTGTATTTTATTCAACGTTCCAAACTTAATTTAAAGCTTGGCGGTGTTGTAGTTAGAAAAATGTAAATTTGGAACGAAGGAGCACATGAAATTTAATGGTTTCGACCTTCAAAATTAAGTGAGAAAATTGTTCTCCAAAGGTATTTAAAAAAAAAAAAAAGGGCTTGGACCTAAGTACATAATTGGGCCAAGTCTCTCTCAAACTTGTTGGTCCTGATCCAATATAGAGTCACATGCCGGAAAATATATAGGATTATGTAGATCTTCAAAAATACTGAAATTGAGTTGTCACTTTTGATATTTGAGTGGAAAAAAAAAAAAGGTTATCTCGAGCATTACCCATTACCCACGTAGTTAAACCTGCTAGATTAAACTTCACACCACAGTCGACAGATTTTGTTACAAAATCATGTTTAGTCAAGTATATCAAATATGTCATTCCGTGACTAACTCATTCCCAATTATAAGTAATAATTACAAATTTCTTATCCTTAAACTAACAAAATACAAGTATATAATTTATCTCTATCCTCTATCCCATTAAATTTATATATTATACACCATTCCCACTTCCAATGTTGAAGGATGTGGTACCCTTAACCCATAGGTGGGTGCCCTACAATTCCTACTCAAAAAACCATACCCCAAATTTATAACCATCTTCTTTAGTAAGCTTGATCCTTGCTTTGCTCTCACATAAGAGTGTCCCAATATATATGTAATGCCAGCTTCCCTGGCTTGGATAAGTTCTTTCAACTCCTCATGTGTACTTGTATCAACCTTCGGGCTCTCTGGGACGACAAATCTCACCCGCTTCCTTGGCTTGATCATAGACGGAGACTGTGTTTCTGTAGGCTCCGATGTGCCAACAATGTCTTGACTCAGTTCTTCGTCGTTGCACAATTGGATTCCATTTAAATGAGTTGAAGGTGTTCCGAGCACCATCATTTCCTCGTGTTGCTTTGTCGAATATTCGTCCGCATTATTCAAATCGGTTCTCCCTGTCCGGATGTACTCAGCAATACTATATAAAAGGTCATTCTCAAACTGCATGTCATCTTTATGAGGATCACGATAACCATATCGAACAATGCATCTATATATGCTATGCTCTCTTGGACCAATATGCCCCACAAGGAACCGTTCTTCATGTTTAACATGAGGGATTGGGACGGACTTAACACAAAGGAAAACAAGAACCTGGTGGAAAGCCGGAAGATTGGTGACGAAGTGGGAGAAGATAGCTGGGATTCCAGATACAAGTTCTGAGTGTACAACGCCAATGCCACGAACACGTACAATACCCAAACTAGGACCCAGACCGAGTAACCAATCAATAGAGACCTTATTTTCGAGGTCAAATTCATACTTTTTGAGTGTCCCATAGTGCCAGACACACATCACTATCATTAAGATGAATGAGAGGGCAATTGGAACCCAAGCTCCCTCCAGAAATTTGATTAAAGAAGCAGAGAAATACAAGGCTTCGATTGTCCCAAAGAATAAGACAAACAAAATTGCAAGGATGACACTCCGGTGCCAGCATAAGACGATAACTAGAGACATCAAACAAGTTGTGACCAGCATAACAGTAATAACTGCCAGACCTGAATTAAAAAAATAATGCACTTCAGCACACATGCATTAGATTTTCAGATATCCATAGAAACACTTCTCCTTTGACTTAAAAACTTATGAAAAGAGAAAAAAAGAACCTGAGGCGTTGCCCATACGATTCGTGTCTCTGAAGCCAATAGTGACAGCCAAACATAAGATCATTAAAATCCAGTTGATTTCGGGGATATAAATTTGCCCATGAACTTTCGATGACGTGTGTACAATTTTGACTCTCGGAAAGCATCCGAGTGCAGAGCATTGCTTAATAATCGAAAAAGTTCCAGTAATGATGGCTTGGCTTCCGACCACGGCAGCAAGTATGGCAGTCACCAGAATAGGCCATTGTAGTTTTTCTGACACAGAGAAGGCGAATATATTTTGTTAGTTGAAACTCACCTATTATTAACATTTTTACCTTTAATGAGCGAAAAAGTAAATGTACCTACCTGGAACAGAAACATAAAATCCAATACGCTTATTGTTTTCAATATCATGATGCCGAGAAAGATAAGCAGCTTGCCCCATATAAGCAAGGATCAGTGATGGATAAACAATGGATGTGAAGGCTATCTGCAAATCCATGGTATATATTAGACAATGCAGCAACTGTATAATGATAACAATCTGGAAATGAAACCCTATGCATAAATATGCAATAAAAACGAGTCAAAATGATCTATGAAGAATGGTGCTGATGCATTAATTTACACATCAGCAGAGTATCATCAAATACAAAGAGCATGTTTGGCTAAGCTTAAAATGTTTACAGAGTTAAAAATAAATAAATTGTTTTATTGATCAAAATCTGAAGTTACTTAATGCGGCAGTGAAGTAAAAGTTACTTTCAAAATAAGATCAAAGCATGTTCAACTCAAATTGAAATTAAAAATCTTGTGAAGAGTTTTATTCCTGATTTTAGTTCAGATAAAACATAAGTAGGCAATATACCTTTATTGACAACTGGGAAAAGTGTCCCAGATCAGCAAACATTGCTTCTGAACCTGAAATTGAACATGTATTATAAACAAGACCATACAAGCTATAGTAAATAATCTGAAATTTTTATATACAAATTAAGTGTTATACTCGCCTGTTACACACAACAAGATCCCACCCAAGGACATCCAGCCTCCTCTCTGTGTTTTCTTCAGAAATTTGTACATATAATATGGGGATAGAGCGCGATAGATATGAGGGTTCCAGTGAAAAATATTGTACAGACCAATAGCACCGATGCATAGAAGCCATGTTAAGACCACAGGTGCGAACAAGAATCCGACCCTGTGGGTGCCGTAATGTTGAAGGGCAAATAGAGCTATCAGTATGAGACAAGCAACGGGGACTTCTACATCTGCAAGATTATTGCAATTTAAGAAGCATTAGAATGTATCATGTATGCCTCTTGAAGCTAAATAAAGTGGTAACACCAAAAGCATGTATGAATCAGCAAGAAAAAAGTTGGAGGTCAACACTTCAAGAAAGGGCGGTAAGCATTGATATAGTTGACAAACATATTTGGTTGGATTACTAGGGGATAAATTATTGATCCAAAACTCTCTAGCATTCAAATATGTTAATATATTAATAGTGAAAATTTTCATTTGCATCTGCCCAACCAATCTCGAAGCATAACAATTCAAACCCAAATGTGATATCTTTAGCAAAATATTGTATAAAAGGCAAAAAGCCAAATGTCCACTTTCTTTTCCTCAATAATATGGTACTTTGTATGACATTACTTTCACAAGAAAATTCTCCTCTTTATATTCATTGGAATCCAAACAAAGAAAGCTTATTCCAATTCAATTTACCCATAAAGAGAAAACCTTTGGATTCTTTTTCTTTGCACTATTCTGAACCATAAATTACTTCAAATATGGATCCCGCTAAGCATCCATGGCTGAATGATTAAAGCGCCCAACTCATAAATGGCGAATTTATAGGTTCAATTCCTACAATCATACTAAGAGTTTATCCTCTATGAACAGGAAGGCACCTAATGCGATTCCAAAATTCGGAAAGTTCCCGAAAGAAATAAACCGCCTAATGTTAGTAATGGAATCATATCCTTCAATATGGTATAAAGTATATAAAACCTTCTAAATCTCAACTACAGTGTCACTGAGCACTATTATCGTAGAGCGTGAGCATTATACTCTGGGGGATATCTTGAGAGAAATTAAACAATCTCTATGATGAAGAAATACACATAATTATTTTTTGCTGCATAATAAACCAAAATAAATTTCTTACGCGATTTGATGAATAAATAAGGGCTGTAGGTACTATTGCCCGATCGATCAACTACTTTTAAAGAACATGACAAAAACATTTTTTCCAGATGCATGAAAATAATCGGCGGCCCTGATCCCCAAATTTTTCTTGAGAAAATTCAACAAGTACGACAAGATAAAATTAGAAGAATCAAGTGGCACAGCATTAAAAGACTTACATTTGTGATGCTCTTTTGACATGGCAAGTTCAACACCAGAAACAGCAGAAAAAACTGCAACGAAGGCCACAAAGAACGTTCAATTGTGCCAAAGCCAGAATGAAACAACCTTAAAAGACAACTCTTTTGTTGATCTTTTAAGAATATACAAATCCGAGCAGCTCAATTCATTTAAAAACTCCAAAATGCCAAAAATTAGGCAAAATTTGATGAAAATAAACATACCTGATATTGCTGGAGTCAATACACCATCCCCAATCACCATACAAGCACCAATCAAAGCCAATACGAACAAAATTTTTTGCAAAATTCTATACTTCTCCAAAGTAGATTTTAGCCTAGCCCCAAAAGTCGACGGAGCCGGACCAGTAATATCATTCTTGTATGACGATAAATCCTCATCTGCTAATTGACAATTAGGCAATGAATTCACCTTCGCATATCTGCATAAAAGAGAGTATAGAGCAAATGTGCCTCCTTCACCATTATCATCAGCCTTTAGGACAATGGATACATATTTTAAAAGAGGAACCAAAGTTAATGTCCAAAAAACAAAGGACAAAACCCCAAAGATTTCTTCATTAGTCTCAGAATGTTCAATGTCATCAGCAAAAGTGCTCTTGTATACATATAATGGTGATGTACTCAAATCTCCATAAACAACACCCAAACTCTGATAGGCCAATGTCAATACTGTTCTCCAAGACTCTTTCTGCACCCAAAAAAAAAAAAAAATCTTATTTAGGACAAAAATTACGCCATAATCTCGCAGGGCATAAAACTGGGAAGGGTATTAAATTCAAGTCTCGACTTGCGCATAATGAGAGTGTTGAAGATAAGTTATGAATAATGAACGCGTCCCATCTACTGGTTTAAACTTTTCGACAACATGGTTCGATGAACCATACACATACTAGCACTTGAATAAAGAACTCACTTTGGCACGATTCTGATAAAACCCACTTTCAAGATTCATTGCAAATGCTTTCAAAACTCCAAGAAAACCATTCCCACTTCAAATTCAAGAACTTTATCTAAAGCCCATTCACTAAACCACCCACCACAGTAAAGAACTTCAGAGAAATTGAACGCCGACAGACACACAACAGTCACAAATCAACAAAAGACACCAACAAAATTACATAGAGTAGTTCAACAACTTCAAGAGAAGAACAAACAAGAAAAAATCACAGACAGTGATATAATTTGTGGGTTTCGACGTTTGAATTTTCGTGACAGTTTGATAATTGATATATGTGTGTCTTGAGGTTGTTGGGGTTAGTTTATTTCTTCGGGCGACCTCACACGTAATTCCACTTGGCTTTCTCTTTGTGCATCTGAGAGAACGTGTGAAACAAGTACGGTGAAATCCAGTAAACAATACGGGGAATAAGATATTAGTAGATTCTGTTGTACATTTGTAAGGGATGGATATTTTTAATTCGGATCACCTTAATTGGATCGGGATTCAATTTTAATTAAATTTTGGTTCATAAAACTGACATGGCGTTTTCCTTTTTATTCATTTTTTTTTTTTAAGTGAAGAGGGAATTGGATCAACGAGAAAACTTGATCAGCCTTGAAATATATATTACAATCCTGTTTGGTAAGGATTAAAATCAGATTTTTTAGTAAATTTTGATAAAAATTGTTGAGGTGCATGATTGAAAATTTATGAATCCCATAAAATATGTTGTTGAAATTAATTATTGATTTTAATTTAAAATAAAATTAAAAGTTTAATTATTACCAAACAGGGGCACAAGATTGTCTTCAAGTGATTATCCCGGACCCTCCATCCTCGGATCCTCCACATTTCTAATTGAACAATAATTTTTTTAATGAAGAACTTGCTAAGATTACTATTAAACTATCGCTTGACATTTATAAAACTAAAGGGAATGTTTGAATCATATTATTTTAGAAGAATGTATTTTGAAATAGTGGATTGCTGAAAAACGTGTAGTTGAAAAAGAAGGAAAAATTATTCATGTGATGGAAAATATTATTTTATTGAAAATTGTGTGGTTAAAAATGAGTAGAAGAATGAAAATGAAAATTTTAATGTGATTGGCTAAATTGTATTTTTCAACTTAGATAATATTTAGGTTGTTTCCTCGCACCTCTACTTTGTTATGGGTAGACTCATTCGACTAACGTTAGAGTGTGTTTGGTAGGGATTTTTGGGGGAAGAATTGATTTTTGAATAGTGATATGATGGGAAATGTGTGGTTGAAAAAGAAGAAAAAAATATTGATATGATGGAAAATATTATTTTATTGAAGAATGTGTGGTTGAAAATGAGAATTGATTTATTGTAGAAAATGAGAATCTGTATCAAACAGACTCTTAAAAAAGTAGAAAAAATTGAAAGGGAAAAATTGTCCAAATTCTCGTACAAATATTCTTATTTTCTTATTTATTTCTTTTATTTTCCAATAATCTTTTGAATCTTTGACACATCTTTCCTTTGTCCAAAAATTCCCTCTCTTTAATTTTCAACCTTTTCTCCATTTTGCCAATTAGTCTTGTAAAACTGTTACTTTCCTTATTATTGGAAAATTGACGAAATCACAAATATATTTTTTTGAAAGGAAAATTCACAAATATTTTAATATTGGTAGTAATAATGTCTTGATAACAAACATTTTATTAAATTGTGGAGTCTAATTATTATTGAACTTTAATTATTGTCGTTTCACGAAGTTTGTCACAAATCGGCCTCCGCAGACCGCAGTGTGGTCGCGCATGGGGTTGGAAGGGGGGCAATCGTCCCCCATCCCGAGGGGTTAGGGGGCGGAGCCTTCGGGCAAAACTTTTAATTAGGGCTTTATGTATTAGGGAGTAGTCCTTGTAAAATTCCATTTTGCTCTAAAATTCCATATGTATTATCATCAAATAGAGCGAAAGATATGTTAAAAAAGATATGATTGATATTTTCTTTTATAAATATTTTTTCATCATAGTGAATAACTACAGTATGAGAGGACATAGTTTCACATTGAAACAAACTTTTATAAATCTTGTGTGTTATTAATTATTTATTTTCTTTCTTTAAATTGATTGTTCTTGATGGGATAGAATTAAAGTTTATATTTCTCAACACATTTTAAAGTTATTTAAAAGTTCTTTAAGAGGTTAAAAAACATTTTAAATAAATCATAATATCTACAATAAACTACGTCTAAATTCTAATAATATTCACTATATCGTCTTTCTATTCTCATTTCCGTTAATAGTCAAATTTTCAGTGTACAATTTAAACATTCTTTAGGATATTGTACATAGAACTTAATCATTGTTATTGTCATCTTATCGATATTTCCTACATTTTATTTTTGTTCCCCCAAACTTAAAACTTTTAGATTGTAGAATACTTTTCAAAAGTTTTAAGAATAATACACTTATAATTAATCGATTATTACTTTTTTTATGGCATCTAATGTTCTACAAAAACATTAACAAAAGTATTTTAAAAAAAAAAAAACATAAGCCCAGCAAAGTTATAACAAAATTCAATTCATCAATAATCATCAACCAAATCTCAAAATGAAAATAAATAAATAAAAATGTTTGATGCAAACTAACATGTTTAAGCTCCTGTTTGGTACGGAATAAAATTTAAAATTTTATCAAAGTGAACAATTAAATTTAATCACATTTTATGGGATATATAACTTTTCAATCACATATTTCATTAACTTTTATGACCATGTGCTAAAAATATGATTTTAATCTCCACAAATAATGGCATAATAAATCAAAGTAGAGAAAATACGCTTTTTTTAAAAATGTATCGAGTATAATTACAACATTTGCATAGTTTGATTTATGTCCAATCAATTTCCTTCCTATAAAGTGGAAACCCTTTTTCTTTCACATGATTCAGAAATCGTAATGAACAATCTTCATATTTTTAACAAATCTAAAACCCCCAAAATCTTCATCTTCCACCCAACGCCTTCGCTTGTTTTGTTTGAAACATCCCGAGTTGTCAATTTAAGAGTAGTATGAGAGTTTTATAGTGATTATGAGAACTTTCTATACAACTTCATTAAACCATATTCATGTATATTCTTCTTCCTTAAACATGTGAATCCTTAAATACATATTTGGTAAATCCAATTTTGTGACAATTATTAATGAATATAAAAACTACAAAGGATCTTGTTTTTTGAATTGAAGTATATGTCAATTCATAAAATCAAAATTGAATATAAGATCATGTCTCAGTTCTAAGTAATCAAAGGTTCGGGGGTCTTGGTTTTAGGGATCTAAAAGCTAGGGTTAGGCATGTTTCAGTTCGGTTTTAAAAAGAACCGATCTGAACTCGAATTTTCGAGTATTTAGTAAATGGAACTGTGTGGTTCAAATTTAATTATGAAACATTTCAAGTTCGGTTCCATTCTATTCGATTCCCGGATTCCGTACAATAATTAATTTTTTTATATTACATCAACGTTACATTAATTCAACTATAATATGTTCAATCTTAACTCTTACAAAATAACGTAGTCCAATCTCGTGATATCTTTTATATCTCTATTTGTTGAGTTCTTTATAGATTTGACTGTTAAAATCACAAGAAGAGGAAGATGGCGAGTTCATAATAATAGAACGATAGAAACGACACGATAGTAGAATAAGAGATTCGAGTAAAACTTAGGTCAATTTGATTAAATTGGGCTTGGCTAGAAATTAGAAATAGTAAAATCATATTTTGGATTTGGACTAAATTAATTAGTTAGCAAATTTATTTAAAAAATAATAATTTGACTTTTTAAGATAAAAAATTAGGGAAATTCGATTCTTCTTCGCTTTTTAGTCTAGAATCGAGAATCGAACCAAACTTGTCGGTTCTTGATTCAGATACCCGTTCGAGTCTGGTTTGGTATGATTCTATTCAAACGTTTTGTCCATCCCTAAAAGCCTTCAATCCTTCATGTAAATGAACATACGTTTAAGCCAAATAAATGTTGGTGAACTCGGCCTAAGAACTGCTAAAAAAGAGCAATATTCTGAAATTCCAAGTGCGAGTATTATACCTAGATTCTTATTAATGGAGATGTTCAATAAAAAGCTTTGGTAAGATACTAAAGATTCATCAACAAAAGGGATGGGTATTAGGGACCTAACCCAACAAAAAAAAAACCAGAAAATAACCTCAAGGAAAGAATGCTACCATAGGAGATGATCTTGAAGCAAGATTTTGCAATATACCCCATATAGCCTTCATGCATAATAGATATGGACTTGTTCTTGTACGGAAAATCAATTTGAAGGGGGAGAAAAGCGAGAATTGCCCCTAAAAACTAAAATAGACACTCTAAAGAGACTAGAAAGAAATCAAAGCAAACTTCCATCGGATTGAATATAGATTTGATAGGCTACGAAGATCAAGTATCCACTTCCTTTGCTCGAGAATCTCTATAACCTTGGAACCCTATACGAGATATAGATTAGAGGACAAATCTGTGCTAAGGAAAGGCGGAGTACACAACCCTTGCTCCTTAGTTGGTCTTAAGGGGCTTGAGTAAGCTCACAAATCCTGTTAACAAAACAAGGGCGTTAATACGATTTAAAAGTTGATCTCTCTAATTCGTCGATGGAGAATTGTGTACCATCCATTCCCATGTAGTTGGTTTCTGTTCAACATCCCAAGGACTTGCAGTATTTCCACAATATTCTTATGATCAATTGTAATAGGGCAAGTGGGTTAAAACCATATTGTTGGGGGGTGGGAGCAGGGTCGACCTCCTTCAAACATGACGAACTCAAAGACACTTTTTTTTTTTCTTTTATGAGGGGCCAGTGAGCGAGTGGATAGTGGTCAATAGATCCCATAGGGCGAGGCTGCGATCAACAATCTAGCAAAACATACCATGCCATTGGGTGTGACGAGAGTGCAATCTGTGATCAAAGAAAACTTTACTTGAAGAATGTTATACAAGAGCTAGTTCATGGATCTTTGGATTT